CCCCCCCCCCCCCCCGCCCCGGCAAACTAGTGGGGGTTACAGGGCTACAGCCTTAGCTTCCAAAGCCCCCCCCCACTCCCCCATCCCACTAAGACTCCTGAGTTTCCAGGCTGTGCCAAGTGCTGGGCCAGGCAGAAACACTTCATGGGACCCCTGCCTAGCTATATCCATGTGAATGGCACCCTTAGCCAAGTGAGGTACAGGAGGAAAAAAATAACTTCAGGCATGGTATATCACAGAAGCCTAGCTGCCTAGACTGTCACAACGTCTGACCAGAATGCCTTCTTTGGATTCTCTACCCTCATTTTTCCAGTCACTATTCATACCTTCAGGGATGAGCAGTTCATTACCTTTCCATCCTTGGCCCAGCCCAGCTGGGATCTGGTTGCTGTATGCTGGTCTCCACTGCCATCTGCCTCCCTGTAGTTTTCCTTAACCAGCCCCAGCTCTGCCTTTAGAAGGATCTAATCCACTGGGACCTAATGTGGCTGCAGCCACACTATATTCATCTGAGACTTAGATACAGGTGTCTCAAGTCTGATGTGGGAGGCATCCTGGAAAGAAATTAAGAATTTCTAGCCTGAAAGGGGCCTTGCCAACAAAGTTCCAATTTGTTTTTATTGGCACAAACTCAAACAGGGCTTTATACACAAGTCCTAAATCCCAAATAGAAACCCCTGATTGAGGAAAACAGGGCCCCATTCACCCTTATAAAGGCAAGTGACTGACCCATTCTGCCAACGCACATTTATTGAGTACTTTTGTGTTTAATATTGCCCAACATAGTAGCCACAGGCCTCATTTCACTTGTGAACACTTACATTTGAGAACTAAATTTTTTATTTAGATTTTAATTAATATAAACTTTAAAATAGCAGTGTTTTGATCACACTGACTACATTCAACTTTAGCTTTCAAATGTTTGGCACCCAATTTTAGACATGTTAGAAATATAAAATCACACCATATTTCAAAGATGTAGTTCACCATATTGGTTACATGTTGAAATGATCATACTTGGGCTAAAGAAAATACATTATTAAAATTAATAGGTTTTGTTTTTGTTTTTACTGTTTTGTTTGGTTGGTTTTGATTTTAGTTTGGTTTGGGTTTGGGTCTCATTATATAGTCTATCTAGTCTTGAACCCCAGCCTCAGTCTCTAAGTGACTGACTTCTTTTTAAAAAAGTTTTAATATTGTTTCTAGGGAAATTTAAGTTGCATACAGTTTGCATTGCATTTCAGTTGCATAGACTGATCACTTTCATGTCTACCTTGACACCTGAAACATTCAGCACAATATATTTCTTAAGTTTCTAAAACCCTCAAAACCACTCCCCCAAGTTAAGTTCGTGCCTATAACCATGGTTACTCAGAAGGCTGATATCTGAGGATCAAGGTTCAAAGCCAGCTTGGGCAGCAAAGTCCATGAGACTTTTATCTCCAATTGATCACCAAAAATCTGGAAGTAAGGATGCGGCTCAAGTGATAGACTGCTAGCTTTGACCAAAAAAGCTTGGAAACAGTGCCCAGGTCCTGAGTTCAAGCCCCAGGACCAGCCGGGGAAAAAAATGTCAAAAAAAAAATTCTCCCCACTGTTTCCAGACTACAAGTTCAAGAGCCACAGTCAATGCTTGGCATCTCTTGCTGCCCTTCTCCCTGTTTGATTGTAATTCTCTTTCCTCCTTCTACTTAGCCCTCCAATGCTATCTCTTATGAGAAACCTTCCTAAATCCCTTTGGTCAAAACTGGCCTTTTCCTGTCTTGTTCTCCCTGCTCCAGTAGTTACCTCACATACTGCCCATTGGAAGAACTTGGGATTTGCAATCTTGATCATCAGCCCACCTCCTAGTTGCTATCAGTGTGGATCCCTGCCCTGACAATTAAGCAATAGAATAGCCCCAACAAATGCCCAAGGGCAAAACCAAATCCAAGAGGCAGAGTCCACCCTGTAGAGCCTCAATTGCCTTGTCTGAGACATGGGGTGAAACTCTTACCTGTCTTCCTTTTGGCTCTCTAATGTCTGTCTTACCCCATGACTTTTCTCACATGCTGCTGAAGGCCCCTAAGAAAAATGGCACCATCCTGGAAGCCAATGCCCTCATACATCCATGTTGTACAGCTTCCCTGGGCCACCTCCTGGTGCATCTTATCTTCTCCTGAGTTCTCCTCAAACATTGATCTGCACTACACTCTCAGAAACATCCAGCCTCCTTTATATGCCCTTCTGCTTGAAATTTCCCCACACTGACCCTGGGCTCTTCTCAGCCCCAGATTGCTTCCCAAAGGGCCTTTTCTGGAAGGGTTGAGGGATGATGGGTAGCTGGACAATAGCAGGAAATGGAGTTTCAGGGTTCTCCAGTTCCTCTGAGCTTCTCAGTCCACACCAGCTCTGTAGCTTTGTCAATGTCATGGGACACCCTGGGGGGAGTGGGAGCTGGTTTACCTCCCTAATAAAATAGAGATATCTCTGCACCAGAGAGTCTAAGGGGAGCCAATGCAAGATGGGAGCCAATGAAAGGAAGATAGGGAAGGACATCAGGGTTCACAGTTCAGTACTTTCACCAGATGGAAGCCAGAGCATTTCTGCCCACTGCTCTGCCCAACCACTCCACAAGGCATGGAAGGAATGAGGAAGAGGTTCTAGTTGCTGACAATTGTTCTCAATCCCAGCAGCTTGAGCTTTAAGACCATTCCCCCTTCATCCACAGAACACACACTGGACTTCTTCTCAAGTCTTCCTGGGGATTAGGGCTCTAGGGCACTTAGGTTCAGAACTGGAAGGATTACAAAACCCATCCAATCTAATTTGGGGGGGGCAGTATTAGGGATTGAACTCAGGGCCTTGAAAAAGCACTCTACCACTTAAGTCACATCTCCAACCCCTGACTCTTGATAGTCATTAAAAAAGGTGAAAATAATCCAAGGATTATTGGAGACAATGATCCTTGTTCAGCTCTTCTTTGTGTCAAAACATTCCTATGCCTTGAGATACCTCCCTTGTTCTGTGTACAGATCCTTCTCCACCCAGGTCTACTCACCTAAATACAGCCCAAAGGTTCTGTACTTCTTAAAAACCAGTACCTCACACCATCACAGTCCTCAGGGAATGAGTTAATGAGCACCAAGTAGTGAAGACTAACATTATCCATGTTTTGACCACTCTACACTTTTTGGGGGGTACAGTGCTAGGGTTTGAAATTAAGGTGTTGTGATTTTAGATAAGCACTCTACCACTAGAGCATACTTCCAGCCCTTTTCGCTTTAGTTCTTTCTTTTTTTTTTCTAAGTGGTACTGAAGAATCAAACCCAGGGCTTCGTGCATGCTAGGCAAACACTCCACCACTAAGCCATATTCCCAGCCCCTAGCTTTAGTTCTCAAAAATAGATTCTCATGTTTTCCCCTGGGCCAGCTTGGACAGCAATCCTTCTACTTATGACACCTGCCTAGTTTGGATACAGGCATACTCCACTATGTACACCTTTATTGGTTGAGATGGAGTTGTCACCAGCATTTTGCCAGAATTGGCCTCTAACCATAATCATCCAGATCTGTACCTCCTGAGTAGCTTAGATTACAGGCCTGATCCACAGTGCTCAACCTTTTATACCTTTTATAGCAGTTTAGGAGGCCTAATGGCCATTGCTGATCACAGACAACACATTAAGTACCCCAACACTATAAAACAGTCCCTTCAAATCAGAACCTGTTTTATGTTAATAAACATAAAACTAGATTTTTTTTCTTCTCTCTAAAAATCTCCAGCCTCATACAATCCTTCTCTCCATTCAAATAAAATGTAACCAGCCCCATCTTGGAACATCTGCTTTGAGGCCAGGTGACAATGGGAGAAAGGATAACACCATCAACCCCATAAACCAACAGAGATGGCAGGCCTGCTGCCTCCCACCACAAGCCAACACAGCAACCCACTGAGTTAAAGACTTCTGACATCTGTTCAGGAGTTGGGAGCAGGGAGAAGAGAGGAAGTAGGTTGCAAAAGCCATGAATCATTCTACATACTTCACAGCTGCAGCCAGAGGCCACAGACCTGTCTTTTGTGTGGCCTGGAACATGCAGCCCAGAGGCCAATCCAGTTGTCAGGGTTGACTCCATTTTCTAGTTACAGATCTTAAGTAGTCAGACACGCGCTCACAACCCTTACCAGAGCTGAGAAGGAACTACACTGAGAAACAGGATAATTGAATCAAGATTTCTGTCACACTGCTCTCAGGCCCTAGATCACAGCCTGATTTTTTTTTCTTTACTAAGGTTTTGCAGATTCCCAGGGGGTCACCTCTCAGCTAAAACTGATTAATGTCAGTCAGTTCTGGCAGTCCATCCAGCAGGGATAGTGGCACCGCATCCAGCACAGAGATGGTACACTCCAGAGGCCCAGGCAGTGGACAGCACACTGAGGGCTTGAGATAAGCCAACCAGAAAGACTGGCATCTTTAGAATTCCCAGAAAAACCATGCACAGCTTCCCTCCAGGCCCCAGGATAAAGATGAGAGGGCTAATACTTTCCTCCAACACCACTATCAGTGGGCTAGAAGCCAAGAATGCCCAGTCCCTCAGTGAACCTGCATCTGCCCACTCTACCTGTGCCCTCACATCACAAAGCATGGCAGTAGCTGCTTTACCCAGTCACTTCCTCTCTTCCAAGGCTCTCCAAAAATGGGATATGGGTGTTGGGCTCAAACCCTCCACATACAAGGTCCCTCAGGCATCAAATCTATACAAAGCTCAGGGGTTCTGCCAGGCCTGCTTTCTGCACTTAGAGAATGCAGATGTGAAGACAGCAGCAAAGAACTAGCTCCGACAAGGTGCCTGTCCATACTCATGGTCCTAGAGGAAAAAGACAGGGCCATGAAAACACCAGTCCTCTTCAGATGGTGGGGGGGGGTGACAAGTGGGCACTTCTGCTTCTACCCTCAGTGAGCACCCCACACTGATCCCATCAGATCCATCCCTGACAGGGCTGAATGGCCATCTCTTACCTTCATCTCGCTTGCGCTTGTTGGTGTCGGCGCTGGGGGATGTGATACCAAGGATGCCGCTGATGGAGTATGACGAGCCAGCCGAGTCCGTGCTCACCGATGACACCTGCGTCACAGAGCCTGTAGACACTGTGCAGAGGGAGAGGGGCAGTCAGGGCCGCCAGAAAGCTGAAAGGCAGAGGGCTTCAGTGCTGGCTGGTCACAAAGGCCTTACTATACACTGGGCTTGGCATAACTATGGTAAGAGATAGAGGGCCAGCCTGAGAACAGGTGCCCTGATCAGACAGGAACACAGGCACAGAGTAGAAAGAAAACTTGCTCATGTCCAGCCAGTGCAAAGATGTAGGAAACTGAAGGATGGAGAAGAGAAATAAGATAGTGGAGTCCTACCGTCAGCCAGTGTTAGAAAGAAGCCTAGATAACCAGCCACCGGTAGCTCATATCTATAATCCTAACTAGCAAATTAAGTAGGAAAAAGTTGGAAGTGAGCTGCAGCTCAAGTGGTAGAAAACCAGCTTTGAGGGGCTGGGAAGGTGGCTCAGTGGTAGAGTGCTTGCCTTGCATGCATGAGGCACTGGGTTCGATTCCTCAGCACCACATAAGCAAAAAGAAAAAAGCCGGAAGTGGCGCTGTGGCTCAAGTGGTAGAGCTCTAGCCTTGAGCTGAAAGCTGAGGGACAGCGCCCAGGCCCAGAGTTCAGGCCCCACGACCGAACCCAAAAATGAAAAAGAAAAAGAAAAGAAAAGAAAACCAGCTTTGAGCAAAAAAAAAAAAAAAAGCTAAAAGACAGAGCCTAGATCCTGAGTTCAAGCCCCAGTATGCACACTGAGAGAGAGAGACAGAGACAGAGATTTGGGTTTTGTTTGGTTTGGTTTGGTTTGGTGATACTGGGATTTTGAACTCAGGACTTCATATTTACTATGCAAATGTTCTACCACTTCATCCATATCCTAACTTGCTATGTTCTAGTTTATTTTTCAGTTAGGGTTTCAAGATTTTACCCAGAGCTGCCTCCTCAACCTGATCCTCCTGCTTTCGACTGAGTGGCTGGGACTACAGATATACACTACTGTGCCTAACACACTCTTCATGTTCACACCTAGCTCATATACAAATCATGCAGACATAAATACTCTCCCTCTCCCACACTCAGACAAACAGCAGGTTTCCCTTTCTTTTCATTCCTTGCTGTCTCTTTCCATTTTACTTGGAATTTATTTTTAATATTAATTATGATAATATTGATTAATGTTTTCTCAGAACTCTCTTTATAGGAGACATGCAGGCATGATCTCATTTAATTCAGAAAACAATCTTGTAAACTGGGAAATGTAATTACCACATTGGAAAAAGAACAAAGTCTCAGAGAAGTTAAAGGACTTGCCCAAAGTCATATAACTAATAGGAGGCAGAATGGTGATTGGACACTAGAGACTGTCTTATAACTATAACTTTCTCCTATAACTTTCTCCTCACTAAAATAATGAAGAACAGCCAGACACTGGTGGCTCACACCTGCAGTCCTAGCTACTCAGGAGGCTGAGATCTGAGGATCATGGTTCAAAGCCAGCTCGAACAAGAAAGTCCATGAGACTCTTATCTCCAATAAACCACCAGAAAACTGGAAGTGACACTGTGGCTGAAGTGGTAGAGTGCTACCCTTGAGCTGAAGAGGTGAGAGACAGCGCCTAGGCCCAGAGTTCAAGACCCATGACGGACAAAAATAAAATAATGAAGAACAATAATGTGCTTCACTTTAATACTGTGTTTTTGCTTGATTGTATCAACAGCCTAGAGCGCTACATTATCTTTTTACCATGTGTGGAAACTGAGGCTCCACAAAGTGAAGAGATTCATAGAAACCTAGTTGATAAGCTATACTCAGCCTCAAGTCTACTCACCTAAAGACCAGATTTCCCCTGCCCTGAAGTAGATGATATGTTGTGACAGAGGCCAGGTCCAGTCCAAAGGATAGGAAATGGGGAAAGGGAGATTTTATGTAAGTTTCACATTAACTTTTAGCCTGAAAGCCAAGGGAGATAGTCCTCACAAAAGCCCTCGCTAGCTATTCAGCTGGATTTCCATTTCTGGGCTGTGGGAGTTCTTGGTTAAAACCTACAGGTTGATTTCAGGTACATCTCCTTGCTTTATCTAGCTGAGGGCTGCACTTTTGACTCTGAAGTGTAAGAAATGTCTTAAATGTTGACAATGGCAGTATGAGAAGTTGTTTATTACTTTCCTTGGAGTGGATCCAGGAGAACCTTTCTACAGGCCTAGAGTACACAATTCCTTTCTTTTTAGATTTGAATTTGATTTTAGATCATCCCTAAGAGACCCAGAAGTCAAAAAAATCATTAACTTCTCTTTTCCTTCATCAAAAAAAAAAATCTCCTCAAAATAGATTTATGCAAATTGCCTGGTATTTTCTGTGTATCAAGGTACAAAAAAAAAAGATCACTTGGTACTTTAAACAACAACCACACATAAACCAGGCTCCCATCATATCACTGGCAAAGCTGTTGATGCTTATTTTGTGATTGACCTAGACTCAGAAAGATCCAGGCTCCAGTTCTGGCTTCATCACTTCTGGGCATCATGACCTTGGGCTAGTTATTTAGTCTACAAGTTTTAATTTCCTCACTGTTCAATAAGTTTGTAAACTAGCATCTGTTATATACCTGTGAGATACACTTTTAATAAAAATTTCTGGGACAAAACAAACCATTTTGCGGTCCTACAGTGGAATTATTCCTCTAGAGCTGTTGAAAGAATATTATCAGGCACTGCTAGTTAGATTTTCATAGTATGTGACCTGAAACAGCCATAAGTGAAATCTCAGCAGCAAACATCCCCCAGCCCTTTCTGGCCAATCCATCAGAGGGACCATTCTCTCTACTCTGTTCTCCCAGTACCCATATCTTCTTTTTGGGCTTCATCTCAGTGTTTTTCTAACTTCTCTTTATTGTGTTCCCTTAGAGAAAAAGGATTTTATCACACCTTATTTGCACCATTTGTCTTCAGCCCCATAGTCTGCATGGCAGGGCCTTAGCAAATTGTTTCTGAATGCATTAGTAAATGAAGAACTTCCCCCATAGCAAAGAGAAGCTGTCTTACCTTTCCCAGACAGGCAAACCTGGGGACTAAGAAATCTCAAAGCACACCTGATTTGTGTCCCTCCATCCATCAATGAGGAAACAGAGGCTCAGAGAAGTAAGGGACTTTTACAGTTCACTCACTGGGTGGGTCAATGACAGAACTGAGACTCTAAGTGAGGGCTCTGCCAGTTTCCCATCAATAGGAAGTTCAAGTTTTCAATCAAAGAAGAGTACCAGTGATGAAGGAATAGAGGTGTGATTATGCAGAATTCACAGGTACCCCTGGCAGCTAGAACTGTCAGACGTTTGCTGAATGACTCCCACTTTCTTACAGTAGACTAACCCTTCCCTAGCCACAGGTGTTTTCTTCATTCCAAGTGGAGAAATGATCTGCCTTAGGCACATTTCAACTCATCTTTAAAGAGGAGGTAAGGGAAAAGTCTGAACCCTTGTGTGGTTAAAAAAAAAACAAACAGGATGTCAGGGTCACTCTCAGACTTCATCTGTGAGTGGCAGAAACCCCTCTGGTAAGCCTAGACAGTTCAGAGCACATAAGATGGAAGCAAGAAAAATAGAGAAAGAAAGTTTGGGAAGTTTGTCACATCTTCACTCAAGACTGCAAGTGCACAAAGAATTGTAGAAGGGCTGGTTGATAGAAGAAAAAAACACATTCAAAACTACTTACTGACTAATGATGCAGAAAATGTTATGAATAAGTATCCCTTTCTTGATTTATTACTTTAATTATCTGACATTCTATAGACCCCCATTAGTGGATTTTTTTGGCTTAGATTTCAATTTTCTGTCTCATGGTGAAAGCTATTTATCATAATAATCAGTAAAATTCAAAACCTTTTAGCAGTATTTATAAAATTCATTTACCAGGTTCAGCCCTTGGAGAATGACAAAGAAGGCGCATTAGTACGTGTGCCGAAGTGTTTTATGCAGAATTATCTGTCCATAAGAATGATTAAAAGTTCTCTTTAGAATATTTGGAGCCCATTAGATTTTCAAAAAAAATTTTTAAGTTCTTCTTACCTATGCTGTGACTGGAAGCTGGGACCGGCTGGTTGGGGGGCTGCTGTACTTTTGTCCGGATGATCCTGTGAGCAATTGGGAAAACAACAAATGGCTATTTACCATCAGGAAGGAAAGAGACTTCAACCAGCTATATAGAGATGATCACAAAACCCATACCCAAGCTAGAGCATAGGGCTGAGATGATGGGGAGGTGAAAGGGATTATGGGAATTAGGAGGTCAAAAGAATTATCTTTCTGAATGTTTCTGGGTCACTTGTATCCCTCTCTGGACCCCCAGTACCTCTTCTGAAGAAAGGGAATGATGTGTTAATGTATACACCAGCATCTCCATCGAAATATAGTTCCTGCTCTATAAAGAACTAAATGGGTAACTTGAGAGAATTTCTCTCCTCCCCTAGAGCTCAGCCTCTCAACTATAGGATGAAGGAACTGTGCCTTGGCAGCTCTTACATGCTGTTTTTCTGCCCTAGAGAGAAATGAACAAGAAAAATGCCCCTACCACCTATGAAGTTACCAAGAGCTTTAATATATGCTTTACTCCTAAACTAAGCAGTACTAAAGAGCTGCTAAGAGGCAGCACTTGGCTTGGCTTGGCTTATAGGAAGCCCACCTCATATAAAACCACTTGGAAAGGATCCATAACAGCTTGGATCCAGGGCCATCCTGGAGTATCTTTCCCTTGACCTTACTCCAATATGAATGAACTTGATTTTGAGCAAGTCCATTCCATTGTGGGTCCCAATACAATGAAGGAGCTGGAACAGATCATTCATTTTTTATTATTAACTTTATTGTTATGATAAAAGTGATGCACAGAAGGATTACAATTACATGAGTCAGGTAATGAGCACATTTCCTTTTGTACAGTGTCTTTCCTTCCCTCACTCCTTCCCAGTCCCTCCCTCCCATCTCCACCCATGAGTTGATTTTTTGGTGTTTTTTGGTTTTTGGTTTTTTTTGGTAGGCCATGGGGCTTGAACTCTGGGCCTGGGCACTATCCCTCAGCTCTTCAGCTCAAGGCAAGCGCTCTACCACTTGAGCTACAGCACCACTTCCGGTTTTCTGGTGGTTTATTGGAGATAGGAGTCTCACAGTCTTTCCTGCCCGGGTTGGCTTTGAACCGTGATCCTCAGATCTCAGCCTCCTGAGTAGCTAGGATTACAGGCCTGAGCCACCAGCGCCCGGCTCCACCCATGAGTTGTATAGTTCACTTTCATCACACATCATCCTTTACTCATTTTAACTAATTAATTTTTCAAATAAATATAAAAATTTTACAGAAAAGCTCAACATATAAAAGATATAAAAGTAGCATATTCCCTTTGGCATCAGAAGCTCTGATGCCTTGTGTAAACGTAGACTCTAGGGAGTCTCTATTGTAAACTTTCGGTTGGAAAACATCTGGAGCCCTCAGGAGACCACACCCCAGCTCATCTTTGAGAACAGATCAGAACAAAGCCCCTCTGGGATCTACAAGGAAGTTCCTTCCCTGGAATTTGGAAGAAGGTGAGTTTTAAGATGTTTGGAAAGGCTCAATGCCAGCCTTAAAAGATTATCTTCCCAAAGAGAATTTGTTTGAAATTCTGTTCCATTATGAAAATAATATGTGCTCACTGTAGACTATTTAGACAACACAGAGAAGTATAAAGACTATATTTAGGCTGAATGTCATTGTATATGCCTGTAAGGAGGCTGAACATCCCTAGCTTTGGGGGACAAGAAGATAGGAGACTTGTAGTTTGAGGCCAGCCTGGGAAAAATGAACTTGAGACCCCATCTGAAAACAAACTAAAAGCAAAGGACTGTAGGTAGAACTAAGCAATAGAGCACTTGCCTAGCCAGCAGGAGGCCCTGAGTTCAATCCCTGCCAAAAATGATTTCTAAGATCATATTTTTGTATATTATCATGCCAACATTCTTGTATATGTTTAGAAATACCGATTTTTCTTTTTCTATACCAAAGACAGGATTAAGCCATGTGCACAGTTTTTATCCTGCTCTTTGAGGGGAAAAACATCCTTTTTCACAGGACAGACCTTTATTTCTAGAAGTTTATTTCAAGGCTGCACTGGGTCTCTAGCTTGTGCAAATGAATCAGAAGGGCATAAATAGTAGTTGCCTCCTCTTAACCCTATGGACAGTCAGCCCTGCCCCACTGACCTTACAGCTTGGCAGTAGGCAGCCGGGACCTTGAGTGTTTTCTACTGATATCCTGGAAGGGACTTGCCGGGTTCTCCCTGAGTCCTCTGAGCACCAGCCCCTGGAGTGCAGCCTTTTGCCCTTTTCTGATGAGTCAGCTTAAGTGCTGCCTTGAATATATTCAGAATGTGTGTTTGTTTGTTTTCCCCAACATTCAAAGCACTTATCTAACTGAGCAAAAAGAAGTGTATTGGAATAAGACCTGGGAGTGAGGCCAGCTTTTTAAACACCTGAAATTAAGTTGGTGTAGGATTTTTTTCTATATTTATATATGCCATGTTTTCTATGTACATATGTCCAAGGACATGAATACACAGGTATAAACATATTAAATATATGATAACATATGCCATAACAATTTCCCACTGAATCCCAACAGAAAGTCCTAACTTTTTAAAAATAAAACTTGTACACAGCATGTTACAATGAAACCCTTCACTATGGACAATTTAACGTACACCAATAAAAATTAATTAATTCAAAGATTTTTAAAAAAACAAATTATAGTCTCCTAATTTTCTTTTTAAAATATTCACATAAGCCAATAGCTGGTGGCTCATGCCTGTATTCCTAGCTACCCAGGAGGCTGAGATCTGAGATGGCAGTTCAAAGCCAGCCCAGGCTGGAAAGTCCATGAGACTCTTATCTACAATAAACCATTAGAAAACCAGAAGTGGTGCTGTGGCTCAAGCGGTAGAGCACTCGCCTTGAGAATAAGAGCACAGGGACAGAGTTCAAGCCCCGTGACCAACAACCAAAAAAAAAAAAATCTCATAGCCAGGTGCCAGTGGCTCACGCCTGTAATCTTAGCAACTTAAGAGGCTGAGATTTGAGGATTGTGACTCAAAGCCAGCCTGGGCAGGAAAACCATGAGATTCTTACCTCCAATTAATCACCCGAAAACCAAAAGTGGCACTGTGACACAAATGGTACAGTGCTCGCCTTGAGCTTAAGAGCTCAGGCCCAGAGTTCAAGCCCCTGACCACACACACACACACACACACACACACACACACACACAAATTTACAAATCACTAATAAAGCATTGTCAATTGTACCTCAACACATAGCTGCTGTACATGATTATACAAGCTCCAGAACCAAACTACTAGAATTTAAACCCCAGCCCTGCAATCTGCCAGCTACATGGTCATCTCTATTTCTTTTCTACATCTGCAAAATGGGGCTAAGAATCATTCCTACCTAATAGAATTAATGTTAGTATTGAATTAGTTAACTCGTCAAAAGTAGTTTCATAGGAAATGCTCAGTGAATATTGTATATTGTTACTCTCAGTGGTATCTTTGTAAAACTGAATGACAAGCTTCAACTTTAAAACATCCAGATATTTCATATTTGCCTTAAAAAATACATGGCAGTTACCCATGCCTGTAATTCTAGCATCTGAGAAGTGGAAGCAGGATGGTGGAAAGTTTGTAGCCAGCCTGGGCTAACGCTGAGGAAAAATGAGACTCTGTCTCAAAATAAATAAATCAAGCAGCATCTTGGGTCAGGAACATAGCCACCTTCTTCCCCTATTTTAAGGCTGCAATGGTGCTTTGTGAGAATTCTACCAATACAGGGGCTGGGAAGGTGGCTCAGTGGTAGAGCACTTGCCTTGCATGCTCAAGGCCCTGGGTTCGATTCCTCAGCCCCACATAAGCAAAAAGAAAAAAGCTGGAAGTGGCACTGTGGCTCAAGTGGTAGAGTGCTAGCCTTGAGCTGAAGAGCTGAGGGACAGCGCCCAGGCCCAGAGTTCAGGCCCCACGACCGGCCACCAAAAAAAAAAAAAATTCTACCAATACAAGGAACCCTCCAAAGCTGCTTCTAGGAGTGAATGGTTGTGTCCAACTGATTATAGCAGCCCCTGATTAAAAACAAAGAGCATTTTTTTCCAGTGAGAAGAAACGGTAGCAGGGAAAGAACAAGATTGTAATTGACTTACAGCAGTTCTAAAAACTAAATAATAAAACAATGACAAACTGTCTTCAAGTCTTATCCAATAAGAGCATGCTAAGGTCCGGTGTCAGTGGCTCACTTCTATAATCCTAGTCAAGAGGCTGAGATCTGAGGATTAAGGTTCAAAGTGAGCTCAGGCAGGAAAGTTTGTGAGACTCTGATCTCCAATTAACCAGCAAAAAATTGGAATTGGAGCTATAGTTTAATTTGTAGAGTGCTAACCTTGAGCGGAAAAAGCTCAGGGACAAGCTCCGGTGCCAACACACACACACACACACACACACACACACACACACACACACACGAACATATTCAAGTCCTTTGCTAAAGACTATTGGGAATAATTGGCAATCAAAACTGAAAAACTTTAGTGGTAGAGCAATTGAATAGCATGCTCAGGGCACTGGGTTTAATTCTTAGCAACACACACATACTCACACAAACACATACTCAGAGCCCATGCTTACACTGCTGTTTGAGCATTGCTCTGGATACCATAATGAACATCCTCTAGTTCAACAAAAAAAAGGAGCTCAGCAATGAAATACAATGCAGAAACCAAAGCCCAAAGTGCTCAAGTGACATGCCCAGGTTCACACAACAAAGCAGCAGGATTCAAAATTTATTTAGGATTGTGGAGTTAAACTACAAGGGGTTTATATTACAAGCATTTAAAATTCAATTTTTAATATAACTCCCCTTCCTTTAAAAAGCTGGATCTCCTCGTCACTCTACCACACCATTCTTCACAAAACTACTATACAAGAGAAAGAAAACCATAGTTTCTTGAAAGGAGAGAGCCAGGGCAGAGGAAACGCCAAAACCAATGATGTGTTATGAAACTGCCACCTCAGCTGGGCTAAAAATCCAAATATCTAGGACCAAGCTTGGAAGAGCCCATGGAAGTCCTCAGGCCTGCAACTGGTATAAAGACAGAAGTGACTTACCATCTCAGAAGACTGACTGCCAAAGTTAGGATTAAACATAGAATTCAAACTGTCAGCCCCAACCTACCTCCAACACCTGCACAGTTTATCTATATTATTAGATGGCTGCTAATAGGTAAAATTAGTGAGCTTGTCTTAGAAAATTAGAATACCCAGCAATGTTAACCCTCTCATTCTCACATGGACATCAACCAATTGTTGAAAAACAGGGTTGCACCCCACTCCAAGCTGGGCATACCAACTTTGCATCCCTAATACTTAGCCACAGGTTTAGCAACTGAAGGAGGAAGACCCAGTCAGGTGCTGGTAGTTCACACATGGGTTCAAGGCCAGCTGGGGCAGAAAAAATCAGCAAGAGTCTGACTCTCTCAAGAGAAATCAGGAAACTGGCCAATTGGCAACACACCTGCATGCACTCACACACACAAACACCTATACAGAGCCCATGTTTACATTGCTGAGTTAGATCACGGCTCTGGATATCATAATGAACGTTCTCTGGTTCAACAAAAAATGGAGCTCAACAATAAAATACAATGAAGAAACTAAAGCTCATGAGAATCACAGAATCCTAAAAGTAGGAGGATCACAGCTCAAACACAAACGTGCAGACCTTGTCCTAAAAATAACTGGTAAGAAATAGGACTGGAGGCATGCCTCAGAAGCATTGTGCAGCCTAGCAAGAGCAAAGCCTTGAGTTCAAACCCAAATACATTGAGGGAGGAAAGGAGAAATACCTCCCCCATTCCACCAACAACTTGGGCCAGCTCTGGAGCAGCCACCTCTGATTGATACCCAACCTGGATTCCCTCATATAGGTTGTACAGCATCTCAACATATCTTGAATAAGGTGGCTGTGTCCCACGAACTTTCCCACAAGCCTAACAGAACTCATTGTGTTACTTAACTGCACTCAGCATAGTTCCACAGGCAGATAAAAGACAGGCACATACTTTGGGAGGAGGATAGCAGAGAGGACCCTGTGGTGTGGCCACCCAGAATAGCTATCAACACAGCTACAATTCCCTGTCTAGTTATTGGAAGTAGGGGAAACAGGAGCTGGAAGAGAGTTATTCACTCTCTTACTTGGTGACACTTACAAGGCGGGCATTCAGAAGCTGTACCTATTTCATTGCCACCAGAGCTTTGCTTTCCTATGGAAAATAATACTACTGCTGCATGGCTCAGCCTGTCAGCAGGAGAAGGGAGAATGCATGGGCAAGGTATTTTCCCCCATCTATTAAAACTCTCACTGAATCTCACAATGAAGAGCCCAAGGAAGAGAGAAGCCATGAGCAAGGAACACTGGAAAAGGCTACAAACAGGCAGCAAATCATGCAGGCCTTTGAGGCTCTGAAGTAAGAATGAGTATGTTACTTCTCCCTGCCTCTCTTCTCATAGACTCACAGTTCTGTCCCCCCCACAGAACAGTCATAGAAGGAGACCAGGTCACCTCTTACCATATCTATATCTATCTCTGTATATACTATAATCTGTCTCAAGGTCACCTTTCTTCTGTGCTTCACATCTGGGCCTCAGTTTCTATACCCGTCACACAATACAGTTGGGGCTTGAGAGCTGTAGGAGACCATAGATATGAAGGCATTTTGGAGGCATCAGCAGCCAGCCAGATGAATTAAGACATCTGGGAGGCTCCTGACACCCCAGCAACTAGCACCAGGACCTCCACCAGCACAGCTCCTGGCACAAAGCAGCCACTGATCCCTGATGCTCCTGGACCATTCATTAAAGTTCTATCTTCACAGCTCTTTCCCTGTCAGGAAACCCTGCTCTCTCTGACCCACATATTTTCAAATAACTTACTTTATGGCTTAAATAAATGTATTTTATAAGGTCATTGTACCTCCTTGCTATAAGTAGGTGAAGGGAAAGTTCATGATGTTCACAAACTCACTGGCTTGGCATGAAAATAATATGAAAAGATATTCATTACAAGTCAGTTTTCATCGTTGCATTATGGAAAATCAAAGCCAGAGTGAATGGATTATGCTTGAAATTAGTTGCCACCATTTAAAAATCCAGGTATTTCATATCACAAACACAACACACACACACACACACACACACACACACACACACACAGGTTCTAGTTTCTGGCTTCTCTTGAAAAGTAGAAAGTTCTGGTCAACAATAAGCCCCACTCCTGAAAGCCTTAAGTTGAAGCTGAGTAGTGGCTAGACTTTGCTTCTTTCTTTTTTTTTTTTTTGTCAGTCGTGGGGCTTGAATTCTGGGCCTGGGCACTGTCCCTCAGAAATTCAGCTCAAGGCTAGCGCTCTACCACTTGAGACACAGTGCCAATTCTTGCTTTATGTGGTGCTGAGAAATCAAACCCAGGGCCTCATGCATGCAAGGCAAGCACTCTACCACTGATCTACCTTTCCAGCTCTGCAACTATGCTTTTTTTTTTTTTTTTGTCGGTTGTGGGGCTTGAACTCTGGGCCCGGGCGCTGTCCCTCAGTTCTTCAGCTCAAGGCCAGCTCTCTACCACTTGAGCCATAGTGCCACTTCTGGTTTTTTGGTGGTTTATTGGAGATAAGAGTCTCATGGACTTTCCTGCTTGGGCTGGCTTTGAACTGAGATCCTCAGATCTCAGCCTCCTGAGTAGCTAGGATTACAGGCGTGAGCCACCAGCGCCCGGCTGCAACTATGCTTTTAACAGGGCTTGTGCTGTTGATTTTAGCAGACTCTGCCACTTCCTAGCCTTCTGCCTAGCTTGCTTTTGTGGTTACATTATCTGCCTGGCCCCACATAAGGCATTAAAGTATGTGAACCCCAGTCTGACAATCTATTTTTTTCCAGGGATGCAGAATCACCTGTACAAAACAAGAGAAATCAAACTGTTCAAGTCTTCAGTATACTGGGTGTGTGTGTGTGTGTGTGTGTGTGTGTGTGTGTGTGTATGTGTGTGTGTGTGTTTTAAAAAATAATTGTTTATGTTCCTCTCACAACTTTATCTCTAGCATGGACTTAATTGTGAGTCAAGACTGCAGTATCTACAGTAAACAACTTTCCCAGAGAAATTTATTATAATTTTAAGTTTATTTTCCTGTTTTGTTTTTAAGACAGGATCTTGTTATAGAAGCCAGGCTTTTCTCAAATTCATGAGGCTCTTGGCCTTTGTGAGTCCTAGGATTACAGGTATGGGCCACGACACCATGTCTGACTCAAAAATTAGTTTTTAAAACTGTAACAGCACTACTAGATGTATGACTAGCTCTGAGAAGAGAGAAATCTGTGGTTGCTCTCAGGAAAAGTCAATGCCAGGCACCCTAGTAATTCTCTGGTTTTCTACCCATAGGTGAAATTGAGGTGTTTTGGTAGAAGTCAATGTTCTTATCCTATAGCCCCTTAGCATTTGGACCTCTCCCTTGGAGAAGGAAGACTTACAGCAGAATCACTAGAGCACTACACTCCCAGAGAGAAGAACAAAGACTCGAGATCCTGTATCAAGGTGATGGCAGAGCTGGAATAGGGAGTCAAATCTCCCAAGTCACACAAATGGCTTTGTTTCCTACATTCATTGTTCAACCTCTGCCCAAACAGAAGATGGGATTTTCTTCCTGGGACCTCTAAGATAGGCCAGCTCTAAGACCTTGAGCCTCCACCACCAGAAACAGAAACATATGTGGAGGTCTAATTAGGTCTATTCTCTGCAAAGTGCTCTACACAGCTGGAAGGTGAAGGGAATGGCTTTGGGCTCAGGAAATTCTCAAGCAACCAGGAGATAGGACTGATCTCCTCTCTCCTTGGGCCAATGAGTCCTGCCCACTTTGGAAGAACAGAAGAAAGGTGGCAGAGAGCCAATAGACCTCATTAGCATCCCTTTTGTCCACTAACCCCTGAGGTACCTTAGCAAAGGAGAGAAACTGGATCTTCTAGGAAGGCACCACAGAACGAACCTACAAGACCTCCACCCCACCCAGATCCACCCACCCCGCCAGGGACAAGCACCAACCCTCACCTGTTGATCGAACTGACGCTGGGCACTGTGTCATTGTCACACACTCGCTCTGCCAGCAGCCGGTCCCTGATTTCCCAGGCAAACATGGTAGGATTTTGGCGTTTATACTCAGCAATTTTTTCTACCACTTTGGGTGTGGCAACCTTTGGTTTGGATCCTCCGATCACCCCAGGCTTGATGCTTCCTGTCTCATAATACCTAGGACCCAAGGAGAAAGAAACTTAGTCATGAGGAACCAGCAAAGTGGATGAATATTTGAAATGTGGCTAGTCTGAATCAAATGGAAACTACAACCAGATTTTTAAAACATAGAACAACAAAAAAGAATAAATAATACTTTACTAATACTGTTTATATTGGTTATACTTCAAAATGCTATTTTTATATATTCAGTTAAATAAAGCACAAAATTATACCTGCTTCTTTTTACTTTTCTTTCTTTTCCTTTTTTATTTTACTTTTTATTTTTCAAGACAGGGTCTCCTAAGCTCACCTCAAACTTACAATCCTCCTGCCTCCACCTCAGAGGTGCAATGATTATAGGTATGTGTTGTTAAGCCCAGGATCTTTTTACGTTTCTTAATGTGCTACCAGAAATTTTTAAATTGCATGCTTGGCTAATAGGACTACAGTAGTAGGATGCATTATATTAACAAAATTGTTCAATATTTCTTCACCAGTTCACAATTTACAGAAAACTTCCAAGTCAGTTTTTCCATTTGATCTGCAACAGTTCTAAAGCACATAATTTGCTTTGTGTAAAGTGGATAAATAAATAAGTAAACAAATAGATAGTTACATCTCTATGGTACAAACCAGATTTATAGAGATTAAATGGTTTCCTTGGGGTGACACAGGATCAAGTGGCCAAGCCTGGACTGTGGCCAAGCCTCTTGAAACAAAGTTTTCCCCAAAAGGTGTCTTTGGTCTTTGAGTCACCAGTTTTCTCATCCTTAGAGTCCTCAGCCTTTTGTGAAACTGTCCCCTACAATGTATCTTATTTTTCCAGACAAGAAAAACAATAGCTATGGTATAAAATTAAGAGGAATATTGGATTCCAGAATTAATGGGAAATATGCATTGGAAGTCAAAACCCAAGCAATCAGAAAAAACAACCACAAGTCTCGGCAGCTCTTCCAGGGACCTCCCCTGAGGTAAATGGCTGTTTCTAAGGACATTTCCATGCTATCAGCTTTTCCTCGTTAACGCAAATAGGATGTCAGGGTTTTACAGCAAAACCGAGACCAGGGAGAAGAGTGGCATGAAAGATGATTTCAGGGAAGAAAAAATGACTTGATTCTCTCTCTGAATCTGAGCCGTCACTGGATGTCTTTCTCAATATGTACAGAGGAATTCTTGATTTCCTCTTCCAAAGGAGATTATCATGCAGTTGAATTTTTTCTTAACCAAAAGACATTTTCTAAATGATTTGTAATTTGTAAACCTAACATGTGTTTCTGAGAGGTAAGGGAATGAGGTGAGTCTGGATGGCTAGAAACATTTATAGAAGACTGTGGGACATTTATAAAGATGCTAAATTTCTCAGCCTCAGTAAGTCTGGTTAAGGCCAAGTGAGTGAATATTCTAGAAGAGAAGAAATAATTTGGAAGCAGTGATGTGGAAGTGAAAATTCTATTTTTCATTGAGAAGAGTGAGTCATTTACAAATTCTGACCTTAAGGCAAAACTCAACGTATCCTCCTTCTTCCTAAAAAAATTGCTAAAAGCAATTTTCTGTAATTTGCTAAGAAATTATTACTCACAACAGGTTTTTTTTTAATCCAAGAAAATATCCCCCACTCCTTTTTTGCTCAAAAACTAGGAAAGTGTCTAAATCCAGGCACACCACAAGCCCTGAAAATTCCAATTGTCCCGCTCATTTTCTAATAGAAAGTCAATTTTTACTATAACCTAACAACTCATTATTTAGACACAGCACTCTAAAGTTTACAGAGCTCTCTTTCAGATTATCTTGATCTTCACACCAATCCTTTGAGGCCAGGCAGGATTTTACAGAAGGAAAAATAATAATAAATAACTAGGAGACTCTGTGACTCACCCAGCTCATTCTGGCAGCTAGAAACAGCTTTGAACTCAAACCCCAAAGCCAGCACTCTTCCTGCTATATAGCAAGCTGCTGCTCTGGTTATCAAATTTTAAGAATTAACAGCTATGATTCTTGCTACTGTAGAGAGCTTGACTGTTTGCCAGACATTTCCACAAGCGACTTTCATTCACTCACTGAGTCAATAGTCCCTGAGAGCCTGTTAAGACAGGGACAGTCTCAGTGTAGGGGTGACAACCCCATAAACACCCCTGTGCTAGATATGAATAAGAGTACTACAGTCACACAGCAACTCAAGAGAGCAGCAGGATGAAGTCCCCAGCTCACATGGCCGGAGTGTGGCCAGCACTCGGCGGCATTCCCCGCCTATCGCACCTGAGCAGTGCCAACAGTAAGAGTCTTCAGGCTTGACATGAGAAGTCTCTGTCTTTTTTTTTTGACTGACACATGGGCCAGGCACTTAGAAGGCAACACTGACACTCCCGAAACCCCAACCCGCAACTGTGTCAAGTGAGGATTCAGACTTAATAACCACCCTTTCATCTCTGCAAAACAGCCGTGCAGACCTCTGGCTCACAGACAAAAGGCGAACGGCAGCCACCAACACAGAGTCCTTCAGTGCAAAGAGCATCAGCTTGGAAGTCAAGAAGTGTAGTTGCTTGTCAATGGCTCTGACACTAACTGGCTGTGTGATCTTGGCTGACTCACTTGAGCTCTCTAGGCCTTGGTTATTCCATTTATATAATACGGAGAAGTATTTGCCCTTGATTCTGAAGACAGAAATGCAGAAAGCTCATGAAAGGCATTGAAAAGATAAAGATCATTTACATAAAGTACATGGGTTGAGAATTAAAAGCCCCACTAAAATGTTTTGTTTTTTACTGTGTAACAATTTCAGTGATTTGAACCTCCCAACTAGACTCCAGTGAGAAAAACTGCACTCTGTGTGGACTTAACAGCCTCACATGCATCAAGCTCTGCCTTTCCAACCCATCAGCAGTGCCGAGTTCTAAACTGAATACTATACTCCTGATAGTCTGCCTACCTTCCTGAGGGGTAGGGGTACCTACCTGCCCCAAGGACTTGGTTCTCTTGACACACGGATTCTGAAAACCCACAAGCACTACACACTCTCACCTTATAAGTGTCCATCAAATTCTTCTGTGACAAAAAAAAAAAATCAGTAGATCAAACAGCCCCAGTTCAGAAATTCCTAGTCACACTGTTTTAGGATTGAACTTGTTTCTTAAAAGGCAGTTCTAATTAGAGTGACATTTTGTCCACTGTGGTTCTTAGTTATGAAAATAATGAGCTATGAAATTCCAATTTATTGTTGACAACTTAAACGGCCAGGCATCGGAGCGGCACGTAACTTCCGAGTGCCACTCTACCTAGTGACAAATCTATTCTGGGCCATGGGAGGCTGCCGGCTGAGCTTAGAAGGGTCCCTGTTCCCCTCAGTCTCCATGGTTGATTTGGAGGCCTCTAGGGCACCAGAACAGGAGGACATGTCATTTGGATGTCCCCTGTGAGAAGATTTCAAACGGCGAGCAAAATGTCGGCTCAGCAAAGATGTCTCAGCAAAAAAACAAAGGAAGGGCCTTCTTTCTTTCCTCTCTCTCTCTCTCTCTCTCTCTCTCTCCCTCTCCCTTGGTACAAAGAAGCTTCACAAGAAGAGATATGATACAATTCCACTCTAGAAGTCTAATGCTGAGATAGTCTAAAATATTTCTCTTCTTTCTCTTTTTCTCTCCCCTAGGTCCTGTTTGCATCTCTCTACCTTTCTATTGCTCTTTTGAAGTCATTCTCATTTCCCTTTGTTTTCTCTTTCTCTTTTCTCTGTCTCCCTGATGACTACTCTCTTGTGCTCCTGTCATTCTTATCTTCCTGCCAAAACCACCATATAACCAGAGCAGGCAGTTTTCCTTCGTTCCTCCCTGAACTCTGGCTGGGGCTCATTTGCTTGCAGAGTACAAAACAGGAGTGAAGCCCACAGCCTCCATGGATGAGGTGACCTGCACTGGGCAGGAAGATGAATCCACACAAAGGTCAAAGGACCTAAAGGAGCAGCCAGAACCCTGGCCCTGAAACTTCTTCCTTTGGCCTCCAGCAAGGCTCTACATACAAGGTTAGTCCCTCTGTCTGAGAGAATCTCTTGAGTTCCATCAGGCAAAAGGAAAAGAGCAAACAGAAAACCACGCTGTCATGGATATACTTCAAAATATTTGTTTGTTGTTTTTTTTTATCCATGCATCTGTTCTCAAACCAGAATGCAAGCTATGGAACAAAGATTGTTGTCTGACCTGGAGGAATATAGTAGAAAGCACTAAATTCAAGTATGTTCCTGCTTGCCAGGGCCGAATTAAAACACCACCACATGCTCCCTCCTTCAAAAAAAAAAAGGTTGTGTTTTGGGCTACAGAGAGATACTGATGGTCCTTGAATCCTTTAGACTTCATCTCAACACAAGTACTGACAGGTCAGATATACCTAGGTCAGTCACTCTAAACATTTTACCTTGGAAGATTTGTTTCTTCATCCTAGACCAGGCTGAAACTATGGAAAAAATAAATGCAAGCACTAAAAGGCTATATAGCCCTCTGGGAAAATCATCATTGTTAGTATTTTGCTTGCAGCAAATCACCAGGTCAAGAGGCAACTTTCAAATGTCAGATTTGAGAGTTAGTGTTTGCTGTTGTTGCTATTTTTCCCCCTCTCATTTAATCTATTCTTAGGATGCCTGTCACTACAAAGGAAACTAAACACACAGAAGGAAAATACTGCATCCCAACATTATAAGACTGATGATAACCCAAAACCAAACATGATGACAGGATTTTAAAAGTAAAATGTGCTTGTTAAAAATATTAAAATCAAACATCAAGATCTGGAGATGCCGTTCAATGGTAGAGCAACTATTTAGCATGCACAGGGTCCTGGGTTTTGATTTCTTGCACACACACACACACACACACACACACACACACACAAAATCAGAAGGAAGGGAGGGAGGGAGAAAGGAGATAGAGAAACAGGGAGGGAGGAAAAGAAAAACAGAAAGAAAGAACAGAGGAGATGAGAGGAGAGTTGAGGAGAAGAGATTCTGGTTGTGTAATCTTATAACTTATGGATTCCCTACCCAGCCCTGCCTGGACCCTGAGCTCACCTAAGATATGTAGGGAAAATTCCTCTGAGCCTCTTTCTCTTGGGTTCTTCATAATAATTGACCAGACTTTCACAAAATATTCTGTCTCTCCTGACAAGTTACTGTATTCCACCTTACACTTGAAACAGAGGTTTCCAAAGGCTAGTTTGAATTGGATAACATCAAAGGTTTTGTAAACCCTAAAGTGCTGTGTATGTGGAACAAAATGCTGCCATGACCCTCACTATGACACTGGCATACGGGACAGCTGCTGGACTATCTTTTAGATCTTTATTTTAGAGATCGAGGAAAGCCTAGAGCTCCTGCCTTTACCTGCCAAGAATTTTGCTGACACAACCATGGCTGACCCGAAGCTGCCTGGAGATGTCGCAGGGCCTGACACCTTGATGAGCAAGTTCCACTATCCTTTGGCGGACTACATCCGGGAGTGGCCGTCCATTCACAAAAACCCCCCCAAGCTGATTCACTCCTCCATGTCCTGAAACAGATCAGAAACAAAAGGCAAGGGGAAGGATGGTTAGAACCAGTCACATATTAGAAGCGCCACCGTGAGCACCTAAAGCCCCTCTGATCACAAGGCTAGATGCCTTGTGCCTAGTGTCTAATTGTGCAGACAACATGAATCATTTCTTCACATTAGTCTTAGCCTTTGTCCATTTGCAGCCAGTCAACTGAGCCATTCAGAGGAGAATCACCATATTATGTTGCCTTTATTTACTAGCATTTTCCTCATAAATTTTTTAACAATGGAATATATGAAGACCCCAGTCTCTACAACTACATGATGCTGAAGATCCTGGGGGAGAAAATGATGTTTTAAAACACTGCATACTGAAAGAGAGGGGAAATATGGTGAAATCCTTTTTCTTTCAAATATCTTCAGAGTGAAAAGGTTTATTCTAATAAGCCTTCAGCTCAGCAAAAGAAATGTTTGAAAATCAGTAATGTAACCCAAGAACTAAAGATTAAAAAATAATAATAATAGTGTCTGCAGAGCACCAAGACAAAAGCTGACTATCACCTCAATGCAAATTAAAAAACAATTTTAAGTCTTTTAAGGTGAGGCTAACATACAGCTAACCACTGTGCTCTCTCAGAGCACACAAAAGAAATGGGTCAAAGGGTCTTCTGAATATAGCACATTTCCACTTCACTGCATTAGGTTTTGTTATAAAGGTGTTTCCCTGGAATTTTTTGGATGTTTTGCAGTTGACAAGCAGCTTTGAGTTGGTTTTGAATGGATGGGAGGGAGAATACAGAAGCCAAAGAAAGCTTCTGAGTTCCAGATTTTACTAAGGTTCTGGAATAGATTTTAAGAAAGAAAAAAAAAGTCAGAGAAAGTGCCTCTTCTACTCATATGTCCCTTTCAGGGGGAAAACAGGGAGCCAAGTAATTTAAAGAAAGAAACCAGTAAACAAAGTGATACAATGTAGCAACATTATTGACCCTGTAGCTGTTAATCAGCCACTAACTGACATAGCTGAGGATTGGAGCCAAGTCCAAGCATTTATTTACCTAGCTACTGGCAGCTCAAAGGCCAAGGAGGGGAAGGAAAATCTCCTCCTTACCTGGGACTGACTTGGATGAAACTGAACTCCAGGATAGCCAAGGCACTTCCACGGTCACACACATACACATACATACAGCACTCTAACACATAAACTAGCCACCTCATCGCAGCTATTTCCCCCCAGGACTCACCTACCACCCAGGTTTGTGAACAACATTTTACATTGAGGGATGATATCATCATAGCATCATTTATATCCTTAAAACTGTTCAAGCAACCCACTAAAGTTTCCCAAATTCTGCAAGTGCAAAATTCTTTCAAAGACAAACATAATTTCATAGATAGCTGTATTACTTAGTTCCAGTTCTCTGCTGAATTTTTCCTGATTTTCAAAATGAGTTTTAATCCGTTTTGATTGTTTTTTAAAACTTCAGGTATGAAAGACAGACAAAAAGAAAAATCTTTCAAATGGAATTTTGGAAGTCAGAAACACAATTACATAGTTTACCTAAAGCAGAAAGACACCCTGGTCAAGAGCCTTAGGAAGGCTTTGTTCTGGATCTGGGAGCATGTAATAAAAAAAAATTAAAGGGGTGGGGGGAGGTAACAAATCTCCCCAGAGCAGGCTGGCTTAAAGTTTTAAAAAGTAAAATTAAAATTGGTATGGACTCATCTGGAAAAACAAAGGCCAGGAAAAGAAAGCAGAAAGAGCTAGCACACTTTTGATATAACTTGGGAGTATAGGCAGCATGGCCCACCCACAATAGTTGTTTGCTATTCCACTGATGGTTGAGACTTTATGCCTAAAATACCAATTTTTAGAGGACGTCAATGCCAATAGCAGTGCTACAGGACATTTGTGAATTTGGACTGCTTTGTATCATGAAGAGGGGAAAAAAACAAAATCCAAAGGTTTTCTAGAATCTAGTCTCTTTAGGTCTCAGAAGATTCCCAAACTGCCTTTCCTTCACCACAAAGGACAAACTACCAATGTTTATGCAGAGCCTGTCCATAGTTGACTTTTATTCATAATGTCCTACGAGATTCTTACCCAACGTCCTGGAAAGGCCCTCAAATCCACCTGGCACTCTTGACTCAGTCACAGTCCTATCCAACAGAACTCTTCAAGGATAACAGTGAGAAGTTTTACAACTGTAGACTAAAGAAAGCCACAGAAATAAGTGAAGTCCAAAGTCTGATAGAAAGGAGATAGAACAGCAACATGAAAGAAGAAAAGAGAGGTATATACAAAGAGGAAAAGCATCAAAACTAAATGATACAGACAAGGAGAAAGAACCTAAAAAAGAAACAGCAGATTAGGCAGGTAGATGAGAAGCCAAAACAGGCCAAGAAATGGAAAGGGGCATCTGGAAGACAGGTGGTTTCTATGGATGGGGGTCCTTTGTTTGTTTTCTAAGGCACCAGCTCCAGCCCTGCTTATCCTTGGAGAATTCAAGTCTCTACCTCTACTTCCTGTGGACTCCAGCTAGGTGAGCACTCACCCCCTCCAAGGGTGCTAGAGCAAGATATGAACTCAGCTACGCATTCTAGAGTGCTTAGAATTTACAGAGACAGATGCAAACAAATCAGTTGAAAACCAGGAAACAGATTCACAGATATAAGGGAAATACAGGGCACACTGAGCAGGGGTGGTTAAGGGGAGGGGGGGAATGTAAGGAAGAAGAGTTGAATCATGCATGCCCCTGGGACTTTCATGTCTCTGCTGTGGAAGGGTCTGGCCTCCACAGATGTTCTGCGGGTTCTGATAAGGACATGCTGCCCTGGAGGGGCCCTGCCCACACCCCAAAGACCATGGCTAAGAATAGAGTCTTAGGGAGATGGTCTGTGCTTATTCTGCAGCATATTTAACTAAAAGACTCACATGGTTGTTGAGATTGCTTCTAGATATACCAGGAGAAAAACTTACAGGCACAGACATGCAAGCAGGTGTACAGGGGAAAGGCAAGGATGCAACCTTCTCAATGGACTCTCCAACCCATAGACAGATGCTGACACTCAAGGACAGGCTGCGTGCACAGATAGGGTTAGACTACACTGCCTCTGACAGAGAAACTCAAGAACCAGTTTCAGCTTTGCCCATGGGAACTTTTGTCTGTCCTTTTGTTTCTCTGACCTCAGTATCATATTCTGTAAAACAGGTAAGACTGAAGGTTTGAGTAATATTCAGGTAGGACATTAGCTGCAAAAAAAAAACTTTTATAGTTAACTGGTAAAGATGCTTGGGAAAAAGAAACATCTAGGAGATGGATTTAGAATAGGGGATGGGAGTACCTTGGAATTCAGGAGCCCATTTCCTGGAAGTGTCTGCTCTCTACAGGAGCTGTCCTGCTCAGAGGTGAAGATGGGAGAAGAGGGAGAGGACAGGTGACAGGGGGAAACTGACCAGGCTAGGGAAGGAAGATGAAGAGGTGGAGACTTTGTCTAAGCCTCTACTACCCTAGTCACTTCTCAAGATTTACGTGCTCCCTCACTCCCATTACCACCAAGTTAGGGCCCAGAGCTGTCTATATTGTGTAAGAAAACAGCTTTGGACACCAGAATCCAAGGTTCTTCCAAAGAGACCAAGGGTTGGCACCAGATTTGGAAGCTAGGCTGGCTGGGGCCCAGCGCCCCCCCCCCCACTGTGCTGCCAGGGAGATTGAAAATGGGAGGAGGGAGCACTTCCCGATGAGGGGACAGATTGAAGGCCAGGGCAAGGAAGCACAGACAGCAGCAGTTGGCTAACCCAAGCCTGGAAAGAGCTGCCTTCTCCACAGCCAGGAGACCATGGAGTCTGATGCTATCATCCCAAGAGCTGGGGCACCACTGGGCAGCAGAGCTTCGGCCAGCACAAGGCAGCCAAGAGTCTGCAGATTCCTGCCAGCAAGGAGTGAAGCATGGGGACCAGCCCTCCCCCATCTTGTCCCCCAGTATCTTCCTGGCTGAGCCAACAGCTTACCCACCTCTCAGAGCATTACCCCCAAATCATTTATTTTCAGCCTCACTCCGAGAGAGACTCCGAACCAGGTCTATGCAGGAAAAGGCTGCGGAGGGCACAGAGGGTCACCGTGGACTGGAAACCGTTTGAGCGCAGGCCCCAAATGGGGAGGAATGGAGGAATCGTTTGAGTTGGGACCAGAGCAAGCGGGATTCTCTGCTCGAATCTCCCCCACAGCTTTGGAGGATTACCTCCGACTCGGATATTGACACAAAGAGAAACTGACCTGCCTGCAGCTAGTCTTCGCTGCCTAGACAATTCTTCCCCAGCTGCCAGGCCACTCGTCCTTCGGTGGCAAACACGGACATTCTCGGCTGAAGCCTGCCTTCTCTCCAGCCGGGTCTCGGCTGCCTTTGTTACATAAGGGACTCAAAGCTGGGGAAGCAGGATTCCGGCTCTTTGAGAGGAACCGAGCTTGGTAAGGGCTCCTAGACATGGAGCAACTCCCTGACCCACAACCCGCAGAAAGTCTAATCCGGGAGTGGAGGCTGCCAAAGCCTTGGCGCCTTCCTCTGGCCGGCTCTACAGTCAACAGAAAGGAAACTCGATTCGTTCCACTTAGAATTTCCTTGAAATCTCCGAATCTAATCCGGAGTTAACTCACCGTGAGAGGAGCGCTCCCCTCGCAGGAGGCTGTGTTAAATGGGAGAAGTGTCAGGATTCCCGCGGGTCGGGCAACCAGGCCGGCCTAGCCAGCACCGAAATGACCCTTGCGGTCTCCTACAGAAGCAGAGGCTTCCAGAAGGCAGGGGCAACTGGATGGTGACTAATTAGCTTTTCTCTTTCTTTCTTTCTTTCCTCCTTCCTTCCTTCCTTCTTTTCTTTCTTTCCTTTTTTTTGTTCTTTTTATGGCAGAAACCATTCAGGCATCCTGCAGAGAAAGACCCTATGGGGTCTTTAAGAGTCTCTGTATGTTCTGACTGCCTCCTGAACAGAAGCTACACGCAGGGACAGAGATTTCGTTGATTTTTCAAATTCCCCTCTCACTCCAAGACGCCTTTGAAACCCTAGACCCAGGATCTTCTCTTTGCCCTCAACCTCTTCCTTCACTAAGGCAGGGACTGGTCAAGGCTCTACTTTCCCACCCAGCGCCAGTCTTGATCAGTCCCATAGCAGGAAATAAAAAGGGGAGCGCCACCAGGAATAAGGTGAGGGGAGCTCTCTGAGACTCACACTGACCTCTGCTACAACTTCGTGCCCAGCCCCGTGCCGAGTTCTTCAAGTCAGGGTTCTCCCAGATGCTCAGGGATGTCGCTGCGGGAGCCCGGGAAGGACTGCAGCTCGGTGGCTGTACCACGCGTTGCTGGAGGCGGGATTTACCGACTAGGGGCTCTGGCTTGAGCGGACGAGCGCGCCGTTCCGCATCCCCTGGCTGGGAGCCCTGCACTTTGTAAAGTTGTCTACGCAGCTACGGAAGTCTAGAGTCCTCCCGGCCTTGATACCTTCCCCGGGGTCTCCTATACCCCCAACCCGGTCCCAGCCGGAGAGTGAGAGAAACGAGCTCGCCGCCTACTTACTATGCATGGATGCAAACGGGTCGTGCTTACAGTGTATTTCCATCGGGGCGCTCCAGACTCCAGGCCGGCCCACGCCGCCGCCTCCTGGCGCCAAAGGGCTGCCCAGGGCGGCAAGGGAGCCTCACCACCAGGCCGGACACCGTGTGAGCTGAGCTCAGGAAACACTGCTGGAGCCTTGGGGTCTTTTTCACAGCCTCCCTGCCGAAGATTGCCGAGAGTCGGGTGGAGAGGCGGGAAACGGCGCTCAGCGCAGTCCGTCTGGGAGCGGGCGCCCAACTCTGGCTGGCTTCGCTCCCTGGCTGGCTCAAGCGGCGGCTCCCGGCCCACACAGGAGTAGCTGCGGCCAAGGCGCCCGCGGCTTCGGGGACATAGCGTAGGGGCCCACCTCCGGGACGAATGGGAGACCCCGGCCCCCGATAGAAGGGGCTTGGAGGAGGCCACCGGAACACACGGCCCTTAGCTTCACCCAGGGAACAGCGCGGCCCGCGGGATGCCAGGCTGATTCCGCGGCCTCGGTGCCTCTGGGGTCGCTCTTCGACCCCTCGGTCTCCACCAGGTCCTTTCTCTCTCTGCTTCTCTCAGTCTCCGACGTCTCGGACGTCTCGGACGAAGTTGCAGAGAACTTCCTCTCTGGCCGTTCGGGGGCCGCGGCGGGTTCGAAGGGGCTTCCGCCACTGATGAGAGAGCTGAATCACGAGTCCCCAAAGGGCCTCCAACCCTCAGACCCCAGGACCCGATGCCTTCAAAGTTCCCGCAGCCCCCGCTGCGCCCCCATCTCTGGGACCCACGAATGGGGACCACAGCGATCGGCTCCTTCTCGACTGGCTCTGTGCGTGCCTCACGCCTACCAACTCTTCGAGCCCCGCTGCCCTCTCTCGGGGGTCTTGTTGGACTGTCTTCCAGACGCCTCTTCCGGGACAGCTGCTGCGCCTGCCCCAGTGGCGGAGCGAGGGACCGAGAACAGAGCGAAAGGTCCCCGCCACCAAGGCCGCCGGGACGGTGGGTGCTGAGAAGAAGCCACTGCCTGCTTTGACTGCCCGCGCTGCCGCTGTCGCCGCCGGCGCTAGCCCTCCGCCTGCTCCGCGCGCACAGTGCGCCACCGCGCCGCCCCGAAGCCGCTTTCAGGACCCGCTGCGTGTGGACAGCGCCGCCCGGGGCTCAGCCTCCCTCCGGGCGGGGGCGGGGCGGGGGCTAACTTGCCAATCACGCTCCATCAAGCCAATCAGAACGTCGGCGGCTAGTTCTGGCCCGAAACACCTCCCTATTGGCTAAACAACCCTCGAGCTCCGCCTGAGTAGCAGATACCTGGGCAATGGGAGAGAATAGGGGGCGGGGTCCAGGCGGCGGCGCCACGTTCATTGACAAACGCGTGGAGCCAAGGCCTAGAGTACCGCGGATAGAGGAGGGGGAGGGGAACGAGGGCCCACGCGGTGCCTAAAGGGTCTGGCTGCTGGTCCAGGCTGGGCCTACCTTTCTGCTGCGGTGTTGGAATTATGGGAAGCCCTGCGGGATTGGGGGCAGCCTAATGGGGATGGAGGTTAAGGTAGGGTAATAATCTTCAGAAGGAAAAAAAAAATTTTTTTTAGTTCCGACCAAAAAAAAGCCCACATTCAGGAATGTTGGAGGAAAACATGGAGAGTAGTAGAGATCCTGCTTTCACTCTAAGTAATGGACTTGTAGTGGGAATATACCTGTCAGTTCTAACCTCCCTTTCCTCATCTGTAAAGTGGGCACAGTTAGGTCAAGGAGCCTTGTTTTGATGCACTCCATCCAGAGCAAACGTTTCCTAGTCTTATCAAGTATCTATCCTCAAGGACCTCAATTCTTCAGACGGTTTGAGAGGATATTACATATGCCCTTAAGGTCAATAATGAAAAGGCTCCTTGGCAAAGAGTGTAGCTGAGCTTTTGAGACAAGGCTCCAGGCTACTAGAGCTCCTAGATTTGGGCCTTCTTGCCAGCCTCAGGGAGCTGCCAGATGCCTTGGAGACTGGTGATGTTGCAGTTTAAAGCTTCTGTTAACAGTAACTATTCTGAACCTGTCACAAGGCCTCTCGGAAAACTGAATGAACCCAGTACTATCCAGGGCTAACTAGGGTCCCTGAAAAATGGGTGAGTAGGCCATCTCTTCTATCAACAAAGTGATGCCATGCCCACATGCTGTAGCTTCCAGTTGTTAGGAAAACCTGACATTTTCTTACGTGAGAAGTTCCTGTACGTGTGTGTGTGTGTGTGTGTGTGTGTGTGTGTGTTTAAATGGGTGGATTTCTGGCAGAATTCTCCTAACTCAGAAGAGGTCTTTGGTCAGCAGTGTAAAAGCTCCCAGACCAAGATCTTAAAGTAAGTTAAATTTTAAAAGGAAGTATGTCTGCTGCTCTTTAACTAAGAACCTGTGAGTGGTATTATATGCCAGGATCCTGCTCTGGAAAAGACAATTAACATACAGGCCCCAGTAGTTCTGCAAGTGATCTGGACAGTCATCACTTTGAATTTGTAAGTGAAGATCCTCTTCTATGAAACAAAAATCCACCAAAACAAGGTCTCTTAGATGTCTGTTCCAGGCAAGGGCTTGTAAAGAGAACAGAGCCCAGGCTCATCCCAGGAAGACCCTCCAGATGTTCTCTTGCTTATTCTCTATATAGTTTTCCTTCTCTCCCCTCTCTCTGTCCTAGCTCTTCCTCTCACATCTTTATCCTGGGTCAACTCTTGGGTCTACCCTTAGGGGCTGTCTCAGTTGCCTCTGATAGGTAGCCAAGTTTCCACTGCTGATACCTATTTCTACCAGATATCTATGCATAGCTGCAGAAACAGCCAACCCCTGACTTTAGGGACCCAGATTGCTGAGGTGTGCTCTGGGGAGGTCACTATCTCTCAATTTTCTGGAACCCCTACCTTGTCAGGATCTTGCACACCTCCTTGGAGCAGGGAGGTGTAGTGAAAGAAAAGGTGTAGAAGAGACTGGAATGGACTCTATGCCTACTAGATCTTGTATCACTAGAATTCAGAGCCCCAGACCAGACTCCATTCCAACTCAAGAAATGGAGGTGTAAGGATACCCTAAAAGAAGCAGACACTGTCATCACCTGTACCTCTGGCTCTGCACATACAGAGACTTGAGCTAAAGGGTCTCAAACTATAGTTTCCCCATTTTATAAATGCACGATCTAAGGCTAGGAGGCAGACTTTAACTTGTCTAAGGTCATACACAAAACAAGCCAAGGCTGAGGAATGAAAATCTTTCTCAGAATTACCACTTCTAGCTCTGGCTTGGTGTTAGAGTGAAATAAAGAAGGATGCTCCCACATAAAAGAACCTGAAGTGCTTGCACAAATCGGTTGTCCTGTCAGGCATGGATAGAATCCTCCAACACTTTGAGGATGAGATAAAGCTGCAGATATTATTATCCGAAGAAGAGTAGCTCAGAAACTCGGGTCTTCCCTTTCACACAGTAGGTGTTCAGCTTCTACTGTTTGGCTTCTGCTTTTGGCTCCCTAGTCTGTTTGCAGAAAGCAGCTCCCTCCCGCTTGAAGTGGTTCCCGGCACCGCAAGGAGAATTTCCTGTGGGCGCAAGGAGACTTTCCTGTGGGCGTGGGCGGGAGTGGGGGGTAATTCACTGTCCAAGGAGTGGGATGACCTTCAGGAATTTCAAAAGGAGCGAAGAGACCTGATATGGCGACCACGAAGATGAATCTCACAGACCACAAAACAGCGATCCAGAGAGGTTAGGTGACTATCCTGAGATTTCACAGCTATTCCCTGGCCGAAATGGGCTTCTGCATCTCAGGTCGGCCTCTCTGTGTTCTTCCGCTGCCTTTAGGATTCTGGAAAGACTAGCAGGCGCGCTCCCTGAGGTCTAACCTCGCAGTGGGCAAAAGTGGCAGAGCGTTGGGCCAGGCCCTGTACTAGGCACAAAGGACCAAGAAGCCCAGAAAGAAAGCTTAATTTGTGCAAATAGAATTATTTTAGATGATTTTTGCCTTTGGAAGAAAGCCCATTTTGATTTCAAATATTTGAGCACGTTCTGAGATTTTCACCTAAGTCTATCAGAATTCATCCTCACTGTCACTCCTTCTTGCGCACAGGGTAACCAGAATTCTGGACCTGCTGTAGTGCTCGGTGAGCCTGAGATCCACTCCAGCAGCCCAAGTCTAGCCCATTTTCCTGCTCTTTCTTCTCCCAAAGTGAGGCTTCACCAGTACCCAAACAGGTTGCTCTGCAGGAAAGATTAGATATGCCTTTGGAATCGCTATCCTAACCAGATAGCTAACCTGGTATTGTTAATCTAACAGGCACACACGTGTGCACGCGTTCTTGCTCATATATATGTATAACTATATAGTTATATATAGTGTATATGTGTATATATATATATATATATATGGAAAGATAATTGACTTGTGATTACAGGTTTCAAAATTCCTATATGATTCCTACACCTGCATCAGGTTCATATGCTACTTAGCCTAGGTTGGTTGCAGTCATTGAAAGGGGAGAGAAAGAGATACGGATAAGGGAAGAAGTTAGATTTTTTTCCAAGAGCAGTAAACTATGCTGGTGTTTATTATTGTTACCAGCTTGCTCTTGCAGAGCAAGAACACTAAAACAAACTACCTCTCTCTCTTTCTCTCTCTCTCAAAGACATAAGACTGGGTATTCTATCTCCTAAGGCCTCAGTATCCTGTACATCTGAGAAGCTACTTCCCAGTGTTTTGTTAGAAAAGTTCCTTGGATGGAAAGTATTATCATCCCTCCCCAGCTGGGCTCATTGTAGATCTCAGAGACTTAATGCCAGTGCCCAAAGGGAAAGTGTACAGCCCTTCCAGGTCTCTCTAGACCAGGGGCTCAAGGGCTCCAACCTCAAGTAGCTTGCCAAAATGGAGTTTTTCTGAGATGAAATCCAAGGAGGAAGGAGGGAATCTATGTCCTCTTCCAAGAGGAGTCAGAAGGCTAAGGGTAGAGAGGTTGCCTTCCAGATCTATTGCTGTCACAAGTCCTGTATTATGATCTTTATGCTTTAAATTCTTCTTTCATACTAGAAAGAAGAGACCAGGGATTGAAGATCATTAAGCTGCTCCTTGCTGGATGCTAAACTAGGACTTAGAGCTAGGACATATCCTCAGCATTATATAGGAGGAAGAAATGGAATGCAGCTCTGAAGGAAGAAAGGGGAGGTCTAGAAGGCCTAGAACTTGAGATATAGGAGGAGGAGGAGCCCTTACAGAAATTAGACCTGGACACACCTTTGAACCTCAGCTCAGAAAGTTCCTCAGTCTCCTCCCTCTTTTTCCTCAGGCCTACCTTAGGCCTGTGCTAACTAGCCAAAGGGTAATATCACCCCAGTTGCTGCCAGAGAAGAAATCTCTTACCCCAAACCCATTGGTGAGGAAGGGACGTGGCTTTCAGGATTTTAAGCTTTAACCCCTCTGGGGTACCCACTACACAAACCCCACCCAGTCCAGCAGCTTGGAGGAATGAATCGCTTTATTGATTAAACGATTATCCAGGCGATTGAACTAATCAAAGAGCCCATCGACCGCCATGAATTACATTCTTCATAGACAGTTTGTTGGGAGAGACTGCAGTGGGCCCCACAGACCTCCTGATCCTCACATGCCTCCAATCCATTTACAACATCTATACAAGCCCTAGTGCCAGAGGCAGGCACCTCTAGGTGTCCCTACTACTGAAGAGTTCATTACCTGGAAAAAGGGAGGCTGCCTGGGAACTATGGATGGAGAAGAAAGGGTTTCCATGTTCCTTTTTCTGAACCCTCATCCAGGCAATTTTCTTTCCATTCCTGCCCTCACTTCTCTTCAGTCAACAGTTTTGGACACACATCATTATCCAGGGAGTTGGACTGAGTTTGGGGCATCACTTCTTTAACCTTTATTGAGGCAGGAGTAAAAGCAGTAGCTTATAGATAGCCTAGGGATTGGGAAGAGAGGTTCTTACAGAAATTGCTGAACATACATTTGTGTAGAGGTTGGACCCATGGCCTAAGGACTGAAAGAGGCCCACATACCAGCTAAGGCTTTAGGGCAGAGGTTTACTGCCCCTAGCACATATATGTACCTTG